TACCTACCTACTTACCTACCTACCTACTTACGTTACAGGTACGCAAGACACGCTTTTTTCGTGCCGCTATACCGAGGCGTGGCTATTCTCTCGGTCAAGCGTCGTCTCCCTATTGGCTTTGCTTCCAAGCAAGCCACCGATTACTCATCCTCGGCATCAGCTTGCCCCTCCCCTCCTCTCGTGCAGATAGATACCTGGAGAGGGATAGGTACTTTAGGTATTGCGGCTCTGTTCGAGATCCCTGCATCCGCGTGCCCCTCCCCTCCCCTCCCCTCCCCTCGTGGCGGCGCAATCGGTAGTAGGTATCGATCGTCGTCGTGCCGCCTTTTCAGCCTCTACGTACATATATATGACCTACCCGGGTAGGTACATACATACCTGAATGCGTGGACGGCCCGCGCGGCGGTGAGGCGTCCGCCGCGCTACCCTGGAGTTGCCGCTAGATGACTAAAGTACCTACTTACTGAGGTGGCCTACACCGTACCTACAGTAAAGACCCTAGTAACTGCAACCCCCCCAAACTGCAAATACCAGGGAAACTGCAACAGATTTGCCGGCCCGAATCTTTTTATATAGGTAAAACCCTAGTAACTGCAAAAACTGCAAACTGCAAATCGCCGGCCAGAGACTTGCAGTTACAAGGGCTAACTTTTGGTGCGGTGGACCATTTTAACCCCATATTTTCGGCTTGCTAAAGGCTATCGGGCAATCAAAAGCCTATGCCCCGGCATCCCTCTAGCCGCATGCGTCGCTTTCGGCCCCTTTACCAGCTGCATATTATCAACAACGCGCTTTTCCGGTACCATCCCTTACGAACCAGTGCCGTGCTGGCCTTCTGCTCGTGTGCGCACCTATTTTGGGTGAGAAACAGAGCTTACCGGCAAGTGGGTCCGGGTCACGTGGGCTCTAGAAACTGCAAGATATTTAGAAACTGCAACTTATTCGGCTGCCCGAATGACTTGCAGTTACTAGGGTCTTTACTGTACCTCACCGCACCAGGGCCTCTCTCCGTGTTGTGTGGGCGAGCGGGTGAGCCAACGCAAGGTGACCCATCTGTCGGTGACTCGATCCGAACACGCGCGCGCGTGCTCATATGAGTCGACCTAGGATCCTCGCGAGCGAGCGAGCGAAGCGGGCGGGAAGTCGATACTAGGTAAGTAGGTAGGTATACCAAAGCCTCATCGCCGTGACTCAGCAGCAGCAGCAGCAGCTGTAGGCCATGCCACTGTCACATGCTCCCCCCAGTTGGGTAGGGAGGCCGACGCGCGACCTACCTACCTAGGTATCTATCATGAGCCTCGGAATACTACTTTACCTACCTACCTACCTACCTAGCCACCCACCCTCCCACCTACCTAGAGGGTCACCGCTCTCGGGATCCTACATCATAGTATACTTACCTATACCGCTCAGCTCGAAGATCAGCCGCTTGTCCAGGTCCATCCGCACCGGTACCTACCTACCTACCTACCTACGGTCAGCCCCGGAGTCACGGAGCCAGATGCGTTGGATAGCGGGTTCCGTCGCGCGTCGCACGGCGGGCATATCGTACCACCGCATCAGTCAGCTGTGATGGTTGGTGGTGGCCGCGGCGAGGCCTGCGGTATCGAGTCCACGAGCTGACTGACTGTTTGGGTTGCGGCCGCCTGCATATAGTATCTGCGGCGATCTCGAACGCATGGGTCTTTCGCTGCATGCCCAGGCAAGGAGCCAGCTGAAGATTCCGTCTGCTTGCCGGTCGAGAAGGCGGTCTATAGATCGACAGGGTAGGTTTTTTTTTTTTTTTTTTCTTGGTGGCGAATTGTAACCCCCCCGCCGCCTGCCTCCCGCATTACGTATCGTGTCATCGCTGCAACCTCGCAACGTGGTCGTGGGAAGCTCAGCCGCAAACATACGTCAGGGCTGGAGGAACGGAAGGAGGGTCGCGGCTGCGGGGTGGCGAGCGGGCGTGAGGGCCTGGAAGAGTAGAGGTTTGAGACAACAATCCAAGAAAGGAATGAAGAAATGAATGAATCATTCGGTGGTGAGACTAACGAAGGGTTATGGAAGGCGAAGAGGCGTTCTTGGTCTTATGTAAGTAGACGAAGGCCAGCCAGCCCGTTGATGCCGCGATCCCGGGAGATCTGGGCGCGGCAGAACTTGCAGGAGGGTTTGCTCTCTTCTATTGGTAGCTATAAATACACATTACCGACGCTATCGTAATGTTTGACGCCTCTTCCTTGTCCATGCCGAGTCTAAGTATTCCTTGCTCAAGTGAAGTCCAACCGAAGAGAAGAAGAGCAGGGGTATTTCGTTCCAAAACCACAGGGTTGTCCTGAACCCCCAATATCGACTTCTGAACCAATAGAAGATACCAGCCTCGCCAACTCGTAATCGTTCGTCATCCAGTCATTCGAATCAAGCGGAAGTCCAGTGTATAGAGCCACCCGGTTTCTTTGAGGATGTGATTGCAGCCTAACGCCATGTCCTAGGAAAGGGGAAGTTGGTTGCCTTCGCATGCGTCAAGTCTGCAGCGTTGAAATAGGCTTCGAAGTTATCGTATCCAGCTTCCGTTAACGGGAGGTGCCATATCCCGCGTTGGGGTCCATGGAGTAATAATTTGGCGTCTAGCCACCGTAGTACTGGTCATATTCTCCCCTGCTGTGTTGGCTGCTGTAGTTGCTTGCATGCTGTTGTTGTTGCTGCTGTTGGGGGTAGTGCTGGTCATCTGCTCCACTGCTGTATTGGCTGCCGTAGTTGCTTGCCTGTTGTTGTTGCTGTTGCTGCTGTTGGGAGTTGTAGCCTTTATTCGCGTAGTATTGTGAGCCATGTGAGCCGTCATTGCCACTGCCACGTCTGCTCTCGCTCTCGTGGCCTTTGGCCACCACGTGTTTCATGTTGATGCTGCCCCAGGGCAAGCCTGAAGGGTCTTCGTCCTCGGGGCCGAGGGCATCGGGATCAGGGATTCGATAGCTACTGCCGGCATGTTCATGGTTTCGTGACTCTCGCTCGGCTCGCTCCTTTTGCTCCCTGGCCTTCATCCCTATCGTCATCTGTAAGCCCCTGGGTGCCACTACGCCGTGATCGCACAGGTCCGTCACTTACTGAACTTGCGCTGAGCAAGTTTGTTCTGGATGCGCCTCCTCTCATCGTGATCGGTGACCGTGTACCACTCCTCTGCCGTCTTATTGGCCGTTGACGAATGGTTCTCGTGGTGCTTAGATGACCGTGAAGGCATCTTCTGTCCGGCCTCCTTCTCCGTATTCGAGCCTACTGCTGAACTTGCTTCTTCTTCTGCTGGCCAAGGGTAATCTTCAGGCGGTGGTACTCCAGGCGGGGCAAGAGAACCTTGACTGGTCTGTGATAGCTGATGCGCGCTCTGCCCAGTATCGTCCACGGCCTCATGCGGAGGTGATGGAATTCTTCCCTCTCGAGTATCAGACATCCCGCAGGGTGCACTCAGACTCGCCGCGGTGGATCAGTGGCTCTTATGTAGACGAGTCCGAGGTGGTAGAAGCGTCTCCGTTAGCCAGCCTTCAACCTGCGCAGTTTCAATACGTCCTTGGTGCAGAGCTGTTGCATACGATATGTAACCCGAGGCGTTCTTGAGGAGAGACGAGGAGGCTCTTTCGGTGTGATCGAGCACCAAGAGGGTTAGAAGTGCTGCAGTAGTATCTGAGAAAGGCAACAGTACCAGAGTCATCCATAGATGTCAACGAGGCTCCATGGTGCATCGAATCTCCGCTCCCGTCGGTGACTTCCACTGAAGACTGACTTGAGTGGGTGACATGATCAGCAGGTAGGTACCTAGGTAGGTACGAGCCCCCTGGTACATGAGATAGGGTGGTAGGATGGCTGCCTCCTAGGATGCATAAGTACTTAGGTAGGTAGCCAGGGTAAAGCTTCGATCTCGACCTGTAGTTGAGAATCTCAGTGAATTTACACCTGCCGGGTGGTATATGCCGATACCTAGTATTGAGGGTCTTGCATAAACACTGACGGTCATCTAGGTACCTTAGGCAGCACTATCCTGTCTGGGGCAGTTGATATCGAGACGTCCAGCAGCGGCAAGCTGTTACCGTAGCACTCGCGTAAGTAGCCAGTGGTACCTGCCTCCGTGCAGTGAGGAGTCAGGACGCTGAGGTATCGCGCGCGGGAGGAGGACCCGGGGTGCCAACTCAAGCTGGTTTGCTGCATACCTGCCTGCTTAGGTGGTTATAAAGCTGACGTTTGTCTAAGCCACAGAGCGTCAGTTTCATTAGGTAGTCCTTTCGTATCGGTCGCGATTGCTGAACTCGGCATATATCCCGGGGAGTTGGGAGGCCGCAGCACCAGTCAGTCACCTGTACGGAGTAGTTCCGGAGGACTTGGCTTCTCGGCCAGTTCGACTGTAGCGCCGTGTATTTGTCCATACCTATGGGCATGCCGAGGGTGGTTCGGTATGGCTCACATGACACAGAGGGCGTTTATGACCATTCATACCGACGTGAATGAGTCCACGCTTTATGTTTAAGCCGTTTAGATGCATTACGCATCACTTCGTAGAACGTACCTAATTGGGCAAGTAGGAAGTACCTACCTGGTAGGTATGTGCGTGGTCTACCTATGTGGCTCAGCTGACTGCCGGCCACGGATTCGGCCGCTCCTATGCATGTAACCATCCATACATACCTAATTGAACGTCTCAGATGGCTTTTAGGTATCCTCCATTCCACGGACGGACTCCGGGAATCGACTGACTCTCAACCACTCATTCTCCCATGCATGAACCATCTACACAATTCCGTCGAAGAGCATACGGAGCTAGTACCTACTCGCAGCAACCTACAGAACCATATTCGCTTTGGATTCTCAATATTCCAGACCCATGGGCTTCAAGGGAAGTCAGTCGTCCATCCCATCAGAAGCATCCTCGGCACACCAAGGAGACTTGGAAGCGGTACGGATTATAGCCAGCTATTGAAAGCTCCTTCGTTCAACAGCCAATCAGGTTGCTTAACTCAATGGAGTCAGTTGTTCAAGGTCGGATGGTGTAGTTGGTCATCACGTCAGTCTAACATGCCTAGTCTAGCTCTTGCTAGCTGAGAACTAGACAGTTCCACTGAAGGTCCCCAGTTCAAACCTGGGTTCGATCAAGTCAGATTATCTTTTTACCTGTGGTTGTGTGTGTCATCTCTGCCTTGGTTTTAAACCTCCCTCTTTTTTTTTCTCTCCCCCCTTTCAAGATCATCAAGTCAGGTACGGTCCACGAGACCTGGAATGACCGCTTCAACCTGATGACGAAGACTTTATGGCAGTGCGACTCACCATCCGAGATTTGTGACATTAGGTAGACGCAACTGAAGCCGAATTCGATCAGGTGGCGTAGCTTCTGCAGCAGCTTGGTATTTTGATACTTAGGTAGTTAAGGCAGTGAGCGTCTGTCGTAGAACCAGGTTCCCACCTCCCGTGGCGTCCTGAAAGTAAAGCACTTGAACAACCCCTTCCTCTCAAGCGCACCATGGCTATGTAGCTATCGGAACGGCCCGACGATGCTGTGTGGACGCACCGTTTCGAGTGATCTTCGTGTCTCAAATTTCCCCAGAGCGACGGTGAGGCAGACTCCAGGGGATGGAGCCTACATGCTTGACAGGCTCGAAAATGTCCCCGAATAGGGTCCGAGATGGCTGAAACCCCAGTGTGGCAGTGGCCATGGTGGAGTTATCGAGACACGATGCCACTGAACACTGGTAAACGGTCGACATGGGGGCCGTATGCACCATGCTGGTTGATCACTTCGTGTTCCTCTTGAACGGTTGAAGTATGGCCAGTCGTTCCGCTCGTCCCTGCCAATTAGAGACACACACCTTAAAGTCCAATACAGAAGAACCTGGACAGTCAGGCATGCTTCTCATTTACAGGCTCGACCAGCACATGCCCTCGACATCAGGGAGTTCGTGTCGTGAAGTGACGGTGTTCGAAACCATGGTCCTCCGGGGCTTAGGGGGGGTCATAACCGCCTATAAGCTTTCTAGCAATTACTTCATCTGTTCTTAGCTAAGATGAATACGAACCGACGAGTCGCCCACGCCGTCGGGGGTGTTCGTTCGTAGGACTTGTGCCCCCCTCCTCCTCCCCTCAGAACGGGGTTAGAGCTGCATCCCGCGCGCGCGATCATGGATCCGCGGGAGACTGCAGATGACGCTCCTTCTCCAGCAACGCCCAGCCTAGCTGAAGTGGTTCAAACCGACGCTCGGCGCGCGTCTGGAGCCAAGCTAGGAGGGCGCACAGCATGAAGCGAAGGGCGCAAGCCTCGCTGCCGATTTGCCCCTGTGCCCGGGCAACCCAGGCAACCCGACGCACGCCCGCGCTATAAAGCAGTCTGGTATTCACCGAAGGTCAGCAGGCACGACAGATAGTAGCTCGAGGGTCCTCGGAACCCCATGCCGGAGGAGACCTATGATGCTGTACGCACGAGGCCGCCGTCGCGCTCGATATGGACACCGAAACGGCGGGTGGGCGACGCGTAGGCCGAACGGGTCAGTCCGTTCGAGCAGCAGATGTGATGGACGATATTTATAGATACCTACACCTGCCGAGCGCCAAGTTGCGGTCCATGCTTGACAGGAGCCGGGGAGGGGAGGCAGACGGAATCCTGTGCTCTTCGACGGGGGACAGGCCGATCTGCAGTGGGTGTGTCTGCCGAAGCTGCGGAAACGAGCCGTTCCTGAGCAGCGCGGAAGCCTAGCCTATCCTAGCAATCCTAGCCAGCCCTCTTTCGACCGAGTCAAAGCCATCGAATCAAAGGATCGGCCATGACAAACATCCTTGTCTGAGGATTCCTCAGCTCGATGGGGTTCGCGACCAAAGCCGGCGCCTCAGCTCTGCCGTGTCCCGTCTACGTACAGGATCGATCACTGGCCGGTTCCCTTGGACGCTGTGCTCGGAAGGCAGCTATGTACTGCCTTTGCAAGATGTCGAATGGACATAGCGACGCCTGAAGCGTTAAGATGTATCGGCCGAGGGGAGATGGTGGAAGACCCTCGGTTCAGGGACCGCACCGTGAGTCACAACATCCTGAGATGAGTTCCAAGCTGGTCATCGTCTTGGCAATGGCACACAGGCCATTTATAATCAATTGCCTGGGTCTATCAAGACTTGAGGGGTGCCTGACATGCATCCGCTAGGGATAGTATGATGCAATTCCCTGTAACTTAATTCTGACTGTGTCTTGGGTGCCTGTATAGGCGCAGGGGTGCCCCGATATCCGAGTGGCATGCCGATGAACTGCGCCCACTTGAGCCCGCGCGGTCTGGCTCGTGAAAGGGGCAGCGGCTTGTCGTCACTTGAGCTCTAGTCGGGCGAACGGTGGCATCAGGGTCGTAGCCACAGGAGCCACACACACCCACCGGCTGCTTTATGCGTCTGCACGTCTCGTCCGAGATAGGTCAGATGAACTCGCCATGTCACTTGGTAGCTTTTGCTTGGTACCGGTCACCATAAGACCCACGTTTCGAGAATAAGGTACGGAGTTCGGGGTTCTTCCATAGCAAGCTGGGCGTGGGAATCGCTTGTTCCTGTCGCAGTGGGCGCTACCGAGGCCTCTTTGAGCTTTGAATGTGACGTTGAACTCTCCAAGGGGACACGTGCCCCGGTGAGAGCCATAGATACATTGGACTTCGGCCCCGTGGCTTTACATGACCTGGCATTCAAGCCCGTACATAGCTCTTTCGACGTTCCGCTTGACTTGGTACCAGTCAGCCCTCCTCTCAGCGAACTCGTATGCCTCCTCGGGCCGGAAAATCCCTCCAAACCGGTCACCATCGGTCATGATCGTTGCCATCTCCTTGGCGTGCCGCGCATCGATAAGATAGATCTGGCTCAGTTCTCGAAGTGCTCTGAAGTACGCCAGGAGATCGGGGTTCTTGAGGGTCCGGATGTATTCGAAATACATGGTCGTATCCGCGATCAGCCTGGTCGCCCCCTCGGTACTAATGCGCTGCCGCTTCAGGTGTTTGCAGATGGCCGTGAACAGTCGTAGTCCCACCTCAGTATTGAACACATCCAACATGGTCTTCTCCGTGCTCCCTTTCAGCATGTTGGTGTGAGACGAGACCAACTCGGTGATGCGTTTTGCCGTATTCGTCGGGCCAATGTCAACGTCCTTCGAGGCACCCAGCTCTTCCGATAGGGGCTGCGGGTTGTAATCTGTAGGGAGTTGTGTCGTGGCACAGAGGTACTCGACCTCATCCATGAGAACATCGATGCCTTTATTGAGGCCAGCTGCGACGCTTTCATCCAGCATTTGCTCGAACCTCTTCTTAGCGAGACCGGCAGGGTCCATGAAATCGTTTCGGTCCGCAATCTTAGACGCCACAAGTTGCTGTTCATAGAAGACGTCGATCATCTGCGAGATGATGTCGCCCACGTTGACCAGCTCAATAAACATGACAAGTGGCGCAACTCCCGCCTGGTTGTGGTCGCTGATCTCGCGCGGATTGTACCGAGAGAGGTGGTCAACAGCCTTGGAGAAACCATTCTTCACGTGAGTCTGGCCAAGCACGTTAAGCAAGGACACGAAGACCGCCTCACACTGCTCCCGGGCCTCCTCACCCGCCTGACCACCCAGACGGACGAACTTGGATGCCCTGCCCAGACTCGTCTTTGCGGCTTGCACCAACGTAAGGGCAAGCTCGATACTGAAGAGACCCTTAATCCCTTCCATTCGGTTTGCCATCAGTGCAGCCTTCGCTGTGAGTTCGTCGTTGGGGGCTTCGGAGGGCAGCGGACTACTCGATCGCTCTGGGGTTGCGCCTACTGCTGGAGAGTGAGGCCGAGATGTAATCGGCCCACTGATGCTGGAGGGCCGAAGTGTGGAGCCATTGGTGGATGTCGTCGAGGTCGTTTTGCCTCCAAAGGTAGGAAGCACAGTGACCGGCATCATGACGACCTTCTTGAACGAGCTCAAGAAATCTACCTTGTCGGCCTGCCTGCTGAAGCTGCTCATGTAAAATGACTCAGCTGTTGCATCCTGTTCGGACAGTTTCTGCTCCCAATCTTGCACTTCGCGCTCGGCATATGTCGTGAAACTCTCGAGTTCTTCTTGTAGATACAAATCCAAATGCGGCTCGAAGACCTGCAAGGCAACGTCTTTCGCATGGTCCTCTAACGTCCCTTGGGAGTCTTGGGGTGGCTGTAGCGACCGCACAAACTCGATGCACTGTTCGAAGAGACCTGACACGGCTTTCAGATATGACGGCATGTGTCGCTCATGAGCATCGTCAAGAAGCGGCGTGACATAGTCCATGATGATTTCTTCTCGGACTCTATCCACGAAGGACCAAAAAGTGGTGCCTGCTTGGGGATATATACGACTGATGATGTCGCCTTGTTCGTTGAGTTTGCGAGCTAGCAATTTGAAGAATTCCTGCGAAGGGTCGAGGGTGATGCTGTCGCGAGGGGCTTTATTGATGCAGTCGATCGGGTTGCCGAGCGCTTCTCGGTCGTTGAAGATTGGATGTTTCTGGACGAACAGTTCCATGGCCGCATTGCCCCCATTTAGAGAGTGAAGAACATGCGCATACCGCTTCATTCGTCCGTCGACGTCCCAAAACTCGTATCCTTGTTCGAACTCGCGCAAGACTGCCGATTCGAAAATGCTCATCATATTCAGTAATCGTTCTTCGCGCTCATCCCAGCCGTCGGCCCAGTCGCACCGGCTAAAAGTATGGAGATTCGACAGCATCTGTGCTTGTCTTTCGGGGTCGCGGAAGGCTTTGAAGACAATCGGTTCCATATGGGACTTGGAGCGCGCGAGATCGAAATAAAAGGGGGCCAAGGCACCATATACCTTTCCAAACTCCTGCCTGGCATAGCCCCTAATGCTTCGGACGTTCTTGAGAACGTCCAAAAGTGCTGTGGGGTCCTCGAATGGCGATGTAGACGACACTTGAGGTTGGTTCAGGCTGAGCGTTTCGAAGCCGTCGACACCCGGTTCTGGTGGCGCTACGGGTTGAAGTTGCCTCCTGCGCCTCTCCTCCTCCACGGTTGCATCGAAGATTGTCGAGCTTACTTGGCCGTCACCGCCCTTTGGCGCACCGATGACGCTGGCGCGTGCTGCCGCATCTCTCTTCCTTCTCATGGCCTCCTCGAACCT